GTAGTAAGGGTTTATAAAGTTATTTAGGAAAAAAATCACTCCAATTTCTCATTAAACCCAAAAAAACTGAACTTAGGAAAAAACTGAACGTCTCCTTCTTCTCTTTCTCCTTCTCCTACTCTTCCTCCTCCTGCTCCTTTTCCTCCTCCTGCATCTTCTTCTTCTCTTTCCTCTTCTTCTTCTTCCACTTTATGCTTATCGCTTTCCAAGAGTAAGGCCTTCAAAAATCTTCAAGCACTCACTGAAGCTTTTTAAACCACCAGTAACCTAGGCTGAAACTAGAAATCTACAAGTACTTACTTCTGAATCTCTGAAATTCTTTCTCTTCTTAGAACACATTTTCTGTTCCATACTTTGTAGATCATCTCTTTCCAGAGGTTCCAAAGAAATAGAACAATTTTAGTTTTTTTTAAAATGATTTCCTTAACATAGAAGCCAGGCTCTTGTTTCTACTTGTTTATTTCATTGTATTTTGTGTCTCGTTAGTCAGTTTTGTTTAGCACGAAAATGTATTGGTCCTGCTTTCCTTAAAGAAAACCACTTAACTGCTAGGTATACAGTTTCTGGAGACTATTCAAGCCATGTGCTCCAGATATTGAATCCCTACTATAGCTAGACTCTTAATTATCTCTCCTATTTCTCCTGTTTCTCCTCTTCATCTCTATCTAAACTTGAAGCCCCAGGGAAGATATTTTTTTAAAGAGTCCAAGCAATGACTATCTTCTTCCCGTCCTTTGTGAGATAAAGGAAAGAGTACAACTTAAGAAACGTGCTGAAACAAGATTTTTCTTCTTCACTAGAAGTTATCTCAACTATTATCTTCTGCACTAATAGTTATGTCAAAGAAGTAGAATTTGAACTTGACCTACGGTCACAATATAGTCCTTGCCATGCAGACATGCATTTTAACATCCTATCAGAGTCAGAATTTTGGAGAATTTGAGAGTTAATTTGATAGCAATAACTCAATCTGCAGTTACCTCATAGACTTATTCGTTTATGCATTGATTTATCTACCTGTCCATTGATTAATCTATTCAAAATTAATAAAAACCTATTCTGTGTAAGGAACTTATGAGAATGAATAGAATGGAATGACATAGAATGGAATGGAAAGAAAGGAATTTGGAGTAAGTTAAACCTGAATGTGAATCTCAATTCCGTCACTTATGAGATATGTGACCTTACTTAAGTTGCTAAATTGTGCTGGCCTCTGCTTCCACATATGGAAAATGAGAATGAGGATGACACACATTTTGCAGGAGAGTTAAATGAGATTGCATACATAAAATAACTGGCATAGGGTTTTAAAATATCTATTAGCCTTGGCACTTTCTTTCCCTTCTAGCTAACTTCTGTATTGCTTCATTTTTCTGTGTTTAAATCTCTCTTTATTCAGGAAATATTCCTTTGCCCAGGAAGCCTTTTCGGACCAAACTTTCTCAATTTCTTATTGTTTTTGTCTGTGCTTCATCCCATATGAGCTTGCTCTTGATGGTTAGTTGTCCCGAACTTGTATTTTTATGGTCTTGTATCCGTATATTCTCTTTTCCCATGACATGTAAATTTAGAAATTAAAATGAAGTAGTTTTATGGGCCAGCTCTCAGAGAAGTAAGAAGCTGATGAATGTATCTGAACCAAGAGGGTTTTGTCGAAGAAAAGTTAGGAAAAAGTTTCATGAAGATGCGCTGCTAGGGGTGGGTCTTGAAGTTCAACTCAGGATTTCAGCTGAATCAAAAGAGGGGGCAGATATTCAGGGAAGATCTAAGGATTTGTAAAAAGGTTGGAAAGTTTAGAGAGGTGGTGGTGGTTCAGTGGTAGAATTCTCCCCTTCCCTGTGGGAGACCCAGGTTAGATTTGTGACCAATGCGCCTTATGGGCAGCTACCACAATCTGTATATGCAGGCAATGGGTCTTTCAGTTCATACTCTGGTGTTTGGTTTACTATTGTATGTAGTATTGATATTCCTCAATTTCTTGAAAAGAAAGAAAGAAAGAAAGATAAGATTTGTTTGTAATATCACACTTTTCCTCTGACATGACCAGATAATAAAATTTTTTTTTTTCTTAAATAAAAACTTGGCCTATGAATATAGAGAGCACAGAGTATTTTATCAGTTCCAGGATCCACTTCTAAGCTATTAATGTCACTCTAGTTTTGTTTTTTCTTTTTCTTTCTTTCAGAGAGACAAATTTATTAGCATTTCTGAGTTAATCATTAGCATTTGTATAATGTGAGCAAATAACTCTAAAGAAAAGTGTTAACCTAATTAGAAATGGGTGGGAGGAATGTTAATTGTTGACTTATCCTCAAGTTATTTTAATGATTATCCCAAGACATAGGAAGCTGGCCTGGGAAAGCAAGAACGGTGAACATCAGCAAGTCCTTTTCTATCAGAATCAACTTTTAATGGGAAGAGAGAAATATTTCTCCTTCTGTGGAGGAGTTAAAGGCTTATAAAGAATCCCCTGCCTTGGGGGTGGCACATACATTTTAGGAAATTTAATAGGTGCTTATTTATGAAGCATAGCTTATTTTGTTTCAGTGAATCAGAGCAATGGCTCAGGTATTGCACAAGGACACTTCATGTGATGCGTGCCACACTTCGACTCTGCCTGGGGGAGGGAATCATATAAAACAAAGTCACCAAGTTCTCTGAAGCAGCGTGCTTTGGAATAAAACAAGTTAATTTTCAGGTAGTGAAGGAGCTCACTTTTCAATGACAGTTGTGAATGCCATTTCCCTTAGTTAAACCAAATAAAATATCAGATTCAAAAGAAGAGTAATGAGCACAAACCATATAAGAAACTTTTTCTTTTATTTTTTCCATTAATCTAAATATGGTTTATCCAAGTCCTTTTGTTTTTCGTGGACTAGAAAGTGAAATATATTTCAAATGTAAAAAGATCACTGTTGAGCACTGTTTAATGCAAATATTCGTAGGTGAGGTAAATCAAAGCTTTATTCGACCTTTATGTCTTAGTATACATAAACCTAATAGAACTTTTCTGAGACAAATTAAAGTTGAATCTTCTCTCTGGTTGCTTTTATCTTTGCAGAGTTATTTAAAGTGAGACTTAAAATAAGGAGGCCATGGCTCCAACTTCAATTTTTCTTCTATGTTACAGAGAATGAGACAAGAAGTATGGACCCTATCTGAAAGAGTGTCATCTGGTATGGGTTGACCAAATGTTTTAAGACCCATGTAACTCAAATATTTAAAGTTAGTGATTTCAGGAAAATTTTGCCATTACCAAAATATTATTTTAGGTATAAATTAATGATTGCACCTAAGAACTTGCCCATCGTAAAAGATAAATAAATAAAGAAAAGTTGATTTAGGGTATGTTGTGTGCCATTGTGTCAATTACGACTGATAGCGACTGTATAGGACAGAGTAGAACTGCCTCATAAGGTTTCGTAGGCTGTAATCTTTAAGGCAAAGGAGTCTTGGTGATGCAGTTGTTAAGTGCTTGGCTGCTAACTGAAAGGTTGACGATTTGAACCCACCAGCTGCTCTGCAGAAGAAAGATGTGGCAGTCCGCTTCCATAAAGATTACAACCTTGGAAACCATACAGGGCAGTTTTACTCTGTCAAACAGGGTCACTATAAGTCAGAATTGACTTGAAGGCAACTTTTTTTTTCTTTTAATATTTAAGGGAGCAGATCTCCAGGTATTTTCTCCTGAAGAGCAGAGTGACTGCTGGGTTGGAACTGCCGACCCTTTGGTTAGCAGCTAACGGCCCAGCGCTTGACCATTGTGCCATCAAGGCTCCTCTTTAGGGCACAGAAAAACCAAACCCATTGCTGTCAAGTCAGTTCGACCAGTGGTTAAGTGCTCGCCTACTAACCAAAAGGTTGGCAATTAGAACTCACTAGCTGCTCCTCAGGAGAAGGATGTAGCAGTCTGCTTCCATAAAGATTACAGCCTTGGAAACCCTATGGGGCGGTTCTACTCTGTCCTATATGGTTGCTGTGAGTCAGATTTAGGGTATACACATAGAATAATGCCCTCTGTAAAGCAAGTTTATCAGAAAAATATAGAGACCCTCAATTCTAGCAAATGCTTCTATTCAGTCTCACTAAAAGGGTAATGGTTATTGTTTCCAAAGTAAACAAGTCTAAGGAAGCCTTGCTTTAAGGAAGTGTATTGGCATGAACACTGAGGAGGAGATTTTTAGCCTTTCATTCTGATCATGAGATCAGGATGTAAGAAAGCCAGAAAAGACAGCCTGAGTGCTCTGACAATGAATTCACAATTAAACCAAAAACCAAACTCATTGCCGTTGAGTTGACTCCCACTCATAGTGACCCTATAAGGCAGAGTAGAACTGGAATGTGGTTTCCAAGGAGCAGCTGGTGGATTCGAGCTTCTGACCTCTTGGTTAACTGCCCGAGCTCTTAGCCACTGCGCCCCCAGGGCTCCAATTCACAACTGAGTTTAGCTAAAGTAATGTATATTAAGAATTTAAATGGATTAATATAAACAGAAAAAGAATGAAAAGTTCAACTGCCAGATCGTTGAGACTTCTCAATGTGGTGAGTATTTGGAGAAGTCCATTAAAATGTGCTTGTGAAGAAGAGAACAAACAATTGGAAACCGTAACCATGGGTGCTCCTGATAACTAATTGAAGTGAAGAAAAAGTTCATGTGATTTCATTTGGTAGGACAAGCACTCACGGTACACATGAATAATGAGGAGGGAAGATATTTGAACATGTGATGACCTAAAGCTTTGAAGGTCAAACCACATTAATTCTTAGGGAAATAAACTGAGTAGCTCCCTCTTATGTGTACCAGAGTGATTAAAGTACAATTAAGAATGTGAAGACGTGATAATTTAAACTTCAGCAATAAACTCGTGAGGTGTCCTTGGATAAAAAGATGAGCAAGGAGGAGGAAGCATCTGGACAGTGGACACACCCAGGTCTAAGAGTATATAAAACTTGGAGTCCAGATGATGACATTGAAACTCAGAGCACCCTCTTACTGTAACTCAGCTGAACTCACGTCTCCTGTCACCATGTCCTACAACTGCTGCTCTGGAAACTTCTCCCGCTCCCTGTGGGGTTCCCTGGGCTACCCAGGCTCTTCCTGTGGCTCTTCCTCCCCCAGCCACCTGGTCTACAGCACTGGTCTCTGCTTTCCCAGCACCATCCAGCTGGGCTCCTCTCTCTACAGGGGCTGTCAGGAGACCTGCTGTGAGCCCAGCAGTTACCAGAACTCCTGCATGGTGTCCAGCCCCTGCCAGATGTCACGCTACCACCCGAGGACCTCCGGGTTCTGCAGTCCCTGCCAGAAGACTTACACTGGGTCTCTGAGCTTCAGTACTAGAAGTAGCTGCTCCCTGGGCTGCGGAACCAGAAGGTGCTACTCAGTGAGCTGTGGATCCGGTGGCTTCAGACCCCTGAGTTATGGTGTCTGTGGTTTCCCTTCCCTGGGCTATGGATCCAGAAGCTGCTACTCACAGGGCTGTGGATCCAGTGGCTTCAGGTCTTTGGGATATGGAGTCCATGGCTTCTCTTCCCTGGGCCATAGATCCAGATTCTACTGCCCAACCTACCTTGCTTCTAGGACCTGCCAGTCTTCTTGTTACAGACCAGCCTGTGGATCTGGCTTCTACTGATCAACTTGTTGAGTCTCCAGACCTTTTGAGCTGAATGTTCCAGTCTCTGCTCAGAGCTTCTCTCACAGGCTTTCTCAATAATGTTTGCTAACACCTCTCAATACCAGCTCCTCACCTTTTCATTAATGACAAGAACCAGCTGACAGACTTCTTCTGACAGATTGTGAAATTAATCAATGACAAAAATACGAAGTTTAATGTCTGTAATATTGAAACGAATGATTCAGATTCATGTCAAAAGCCTGTCTTACAAAAGAGATAGAAGTTCACTTATGATTGACCTAATAAACTCACACACTCTGGCATCCAGCATGTTATCATTGTTCTTTATTGATTTTCAAAGTTTGATTTTGAGCTGTCTTTGGAGTGCTCTTTCGAGTACCTTCCCTAGGAAATGGATTTGGAGCTTGGGTGGCTTCAGGTCTGGTATATGGAAGACTCTGGGCACTCTACTGCCTAAGCCGTAACAACTACCTGTCTTTGCCACCAAAGCTGGTAGGATTTTAACAGTGTTATTGGGAATATGCCCATAATGAGGTCAACATGCTCATGTTTTCAATAAAGAAACTCTATGCTGATAATCATATTTGGTTTTAAGTTTACATATTCAAAACAGTATTGATGAGTTGGCATTTGTACAGAAGATTGGATTTTTATGACATATTTATATGTCATTTTTATGATATATTTATGTAATTTTTATGACATATTTATGTCATATTTAAAAAGCATAGTATATAAAATGTTTGAAGGAACTTGATACATTGGCATGAAAAAAAGAGAAAATATCATGTGGTAGGGATTGACGTTAGTATGGTCATCTTCAAATATATGGGAAAGGGATTATTTGTGTGTGTGTGCATGACAGAGAGAGATAAATTTAAAGAATAAAATTGAGAGGCACAGACAGAAGTTATATGGTGACATATTTTGTCTTGGCATAAATAAATATGTATTTATAAATTATAAATTCATAGAATTACTAAGACATAGATGGTTTCATGTGAAGTTACTGAATTTTCCAACAAGCAGAAGATGAATAATCCCTTTTTTTAGTCAATTCTGCATTGAATAGGAGGTAAGATTATACTACTTTCAATGATCTAGATTTATTACCTGCCTACGTCTCCCTATGATCCACTGCTCAGCTGTGACCGTGAGAAAAAAATAAATCCTGGTAGGATGCTGTAGAGACCTGAGACAGGCCTGAATTTATTCTAATTTGAGAAAGTTATTTGTCTCAGAGGCTAAATGTAGTGTCAGAATGAAGTTAAAACTTCGCCATAACATATTTAATAATAAATCTCCATGAGTTGGAGTGTACCATATTTTTATGAAAATAATGTGCACGTTATACTTTTTTTGCCATCTGCACAACCCCCTTGGATATTATTTTCCTCGTTGCACTATGCACGTTGTATGTGTGGGCACTTTATTTACATGGGTATGTTATTTGCAGAAAAATACTGAAACTATCAAAGATCATCATTTACTCTAGTCATATCCTACGAATGTTTACTGATTTATCTCCCCAGAAATCTCTTCTGATTTGGTAGTAATTCCTTCCTCCTTTTGGTGAATTGTTCTTCCTTCAACTATATTAGATGATCCAAATGGGTATGCCATCTTCTTATGTGATTACAGTGATGAAGCAGTCAATAGATCAATTAACCTCAAAAGATTTCATGTCACTATAGTGAGTGGTCCAGGAACAGACACACGACGTAAGTTAGATCAGTCAGGATCCTTCCTCAAGATTTTCTAATCAGAGCTGAGAAAAGATCCCTTTTTCCTTATAGTCAAGCCAATAATAGGCTAAGCATGGAAGGGTGGCAACCAGGTTCCTGGGATAAAAACTTGCCTAAGACATGGAAAATGACACACAGGAACAGATAAGAAGGCTATAGACAAAAGCTCCTGGTGATACAGGAGACTCTGGTTCCCATCGTCCCTTAAGCCAGCTTCACGGGTCCTTCTTATGGTTTGGTTATATGGGCCAATAAACTCTTTTTTTAGCTTAAACTCGTTACAATAAGATTTGTGTCACTCACATCCAAAGAGTTATAATTAGTAAGCATGTGCCATCTGGTGCATTAGTTACTCATTGACTTTGGTGTAAATACCAAGCCAAAACCTGTAGCTGTTGAGTCAATTCCAACCCATTTAAATTTTTTATTAGTAAGACAAAAAGATCTTGTGAATATAAATTATTGCCATTGGTACTAACAGTGGATTGCTAAATTTCTTTAGGTAATGTGGAATGAGTAAAACATGGCTAGAGAAACCACTCGGGAAACAAATTAAATTGTATCACAGTAGCATGGCTGGCAAGAAAGCCCTGGAAATTCATTCAGCGCATCCAGCAGAACTGAAAACTTCTAACTCAAGCAAGAAAGGCAGCAGACCATACAAGGAGTGATACGAGTACAGATAAATATTTTGAAAACTTCACAATTTTTTTCTGACAACAGAATGTGTCTTAGTTTCCCAGGACAGTCATTATGAAATTCTACAAAATGGGTGGCTAGAAGCTCAAATCAGAACTTCAAAACAGCTTCACTCTTTTTTTTTAAAACCTCACTTTTAATTTCATTGAAGACTTCCTCTTTTTCACTGACCTTCTACTTTACCAGCATTATATTCTTCTCCAGGGACTAGCCCCTCCTGATAACGTGTCCGAAGTACGTGAGACGAAGTCTGCCCATCCTCACTTCTGAAGAGCATTCTGACTGGACTTCTTCCAAGACAGACTCGTTCGTTCTTCTGGCAGTCCATGGTATATTCAGTATTCTTCACCAACACCATAATTCAGAGGCATCAACTCTTCTTCCAGCTTCCTTATTGATTGTCCAGCTTTCACATGCATATGAGGCGATTGAAAAACACCATGGGTTGGGTGGGTCGCACCTTAGTCCTTAGAACTATGTATACACACAAATGGGTGCATGTAAAAACTGATAAAACTAGACAGTTCTACAATATTAGTTGGAGGCTTCAATATACCACTTTAAATAGTGGAGACAACTTTTAGACATAAGATCAATAAGGAAATAGAGGACTTAAACGGCGCTATAAACCAAGCAGACCGACAGATAAATACAGAACATTCCACACAGCGAGAGCAGAATACACATTCTTCTTCAGTACACACGGATCATTTTCCAGCAGAGAGCGTATGCTAGGTCACAAAACAATCCTCAATCAATTTAACAAAATTGAAATCATATGAAGGATCTTCTCTTACCACAATTGAATGAACTATGTATAAGTATATTGTGAATTTCAAAAATGAGACAAGGAGAGGCTTAGAGTTTTCCTCCCCATCTCTTCTCCACAGTGGAGTTGATGGAGACACACAAGTTTTCCCAAGCTTTTTGGCCAGATAACATTATAATTTTTAGTCAAAATCAATTTTAGTCAAAATCCACATTCAAAGTAATAAAGAGTTATTACCCTCTTGTCAGGGAATTTCTACAAAGAGACTACATCTAAATTCATCTTTGATATACCCTTTTTTTTAGTGCTCCACCAGAAAAATAACCCTAGTTTTGTAATTGGAGGGAGAGCTGTTATCACACTCATAATCCTAAAAGATGTGAATAGTGACTGATTCCGTGTTTTTAACAGCTTACCAGCTTACTCTTCCTGCTGGGCAAATGACCATAGAGATTTATGCATTGTCTATAGAACTGATTCCAGAGGACTTCACTTTTTGTGTCCTGTAGATACTGCGAGGTGAAGAGGCTCCATTGATTGTTCCTCTTCTCCAGCCTATCAACCAAATTTGAAAATTACTTTAGCTTCAACCATTTTAGGGTGATTTTCCATGGTCTGTTATTACCCTAAGGAAAGCACTAAAAACAAACAAACAGTCAATCCACATTATTACATCCTCAGGAGCTGTGAGCTTCATTCTGGGAGACAGACGTGGAAATGTTCTCTTAATCGATTGTCAACACTTGGAAGGAATGAGCTCTCTTTTGCTTTCCTACTCCCTATCTATTGTCGTATGGTTTATCTTTTCACCTGGGATATTCTCCTCTTCGCCTCCATTTTAATTCTATCATCTAAGAAATTTCATATGTTAAAGAGCTTAGTAATAAAACTTCACGCCATCTGTGTCATGCATTTGGTGCTCAGCATTTGCTAAGCTTTATAATGGTTCTTAGCAAAACAAATGCAGGATTGGGTCATGAATGAGCAAAACTCTGGAGACAGACTGACCTAGTCTCACCTTCAGTCTTTACAAGCTTTTAAAAAAATAATTTTGAACAAATTATCTGATGTGTCTCTACCTTTTTCATCTGCCAAATGAAAGTAGTAATAGTTAATCCACACAGCCATAATGAGGAATATATATGAATATTCTCTAATACAGAGTAGGATATTTTAGATTTTTAATTTCTTGAAGGTACTATATCTCTGATGTCTTTGTTACACTGAACATAGTGCCCTTAATATAGGATTTAATCATTGTATATTTGTCAATTAGCGTCCATATATTAACCTACAATCAGTAAGTAGGAAGGGCGTAGAATAGGCTTTGGTTTATATTACTGAGATCCCAAAAGGTATGCATAAAGCATCACTATTTTAAGTATAAGCAAAACAATTGTTGTATTCTTAAACATGGAGGAAAATATTGTTTTCCAAAGTTTAGTTGTGACTGTATTAATATATTTTCTTGCCTAAGTCTCACAGATTGTTCTGTTGGGTCATTGTAAAACAGACCAAGAATGCACAAAACTTCAATAAGAGTCATTACCTGCTGGACTACTACTCTGGATAAACCCCTGTAAATCACAGTAGCATATGATAAGAGCCACAGAAAATTAGAAAAACACCAACTCAAAAGCATCCATTAGCCCACCAGCATGACTAACAGATGCTATTCTTGATGGTGGCAATATCAGTCATTACTCTACCACAATTCAGTTTTCTGTCAAGCAGAAAATTGGTTACTAAGGGTCTTGAAACTCAAAATAGATGAGCACCATAAG